CAGTTAAATGTGTACACATTATTTTTATTTTCTCCTCCAATTATAATCATTCACTTTACCATATTAATCTTGCCAGTCAAATGTGGACACGATATAGCTGTAAAAAAAATAATATTTTTTTTTATTATTTTGTTAACATTTTTTTTAATTTTACTTCAAGATCATAATTACTATTCTTACTTCATCATTTTATAAGAATGCATCCCTAAAATAATAATGTATAGTGATTGAAACTTAAAAAAGAAAAAACTCAAAACAATTATTTCCGAAGTCTTCTCTTTTCAACAATAATAAAGATGTACATAGACTTTGTTTTTATATTCAACAGGAAAGATAACTTCCTTTTAGTGACAGGAACGAAAACTCAGTCCCCGTCTCGACCAATAAAAAAAAAAAAGATTGTGACTTTCTACATTATCTGACGCGTGAAGATTTTGTTATTTCTAGCGTAACGGATGCAAGCGTTAAAGTGAGAGAGATTTTCCTACATTAATTGAAGCGTGAAGATTTTATTATTTGAAGCGTGAAGTTTTTATCATTTGAAGCGTAAAGATTTTATTATTTCTAGCAAGTTTTTCTCTTATCAGTTGAGTGACGTAATTGTTACGTCATAGTCCACTGAACGCGCAAATATTGTAGATCAAAGGACAGTTAAAGTAAAGTCTACCCTATTTACATTCTAAATTTACTTTTTGCGGTAACCCGGCCTCTGGACCCAGTTGTTTAAAAGATGGTAAATTTTAACACAGTGTTTTCTCTGCGTTAATTAATGTTTTAAATTCAATTTTCTTTTGAACAACCTAGCCCTGGAAGAAAACAAGCTTCTTGACTAGTATTACATCATCACAACACAGAAAAGGGTAGTAAAAAGCATGCAATTTATTTTTACGTCACAAACTTTAAGCGCCAATAGAGAGCAAAATCATGAGCAAAAAGAAAAATTTACTCTAATTATGACCAGATATAAGCTGTTAGATTGGCATTTCCATTAACTGTAGCTTACAATGTTTGTATTGACCAATTAAAATAAAATGCAAAAGGGACTAAGTGTTATTTTCTCGTATTCAGAAAAATCAATTCAATGATCATTTAAGGTATGAAGCTAATTTCAACTTATGTTATCCGATATAACATAACTTGGGACAGATTACGAAAGCGTAAACTGCCCCAAGTTTTGTTATATCGGATAACATAAGTTGAAATCAGCTTCATTACTTATAATTTAATTCTAATGTAGGCAATGAGTCAATATTTCCTCCGGAAAAAGACTTCAAATTGAGCATTATTTTAAAAGTAACGTCAATCGGAGTTAAACGCTTTTGACGTAACTCATTGTGACGTAGGCAAGTTATGCTATCCAAAATATTATATGTTCCTCTGAATGATTCAGCCAATGAAATTGCTTAATACAAGTGAAATTAAATTATTTACTCTTGGCACTTTTTCTAAATCATAAGAAGAAATGTGACTTTAACGGGTTCGTGATAAAAGAAGTTCCCATTCTTCCTTACATTAACTTTCATAAAATCGTATTCGACCCCGCTGTCAAGCAACGTTGTTTCAACTTTGAAAGGAGGTTCGACGTCAAGCAACTATATTTCAAAGTTGTTTTAACAAATCCTCAACTTTTTTTCAATATTGAAACAACATTGAAGATGCAACATATTTTCAATGTTTTTCGATATTATAAACTGCAACATATTTGTGTTATTTCAAAATTGAAGTAATGTTTAAAATGTGGAAGATGCAACTTTTTCAACTTTAGGAAAGTAAGGAATATTTACCTTTGAAACAACAGGTGATGAGCACCTTAGGTTTGAAGGTATAAATAGAAAAGGGTCTTTAACTCTAAATCGATGTGTTTCTGGCAATATACACACTATATGCATTGATGTGCTAGAAATAGTGTACTAACGATCCAAATTGCCTAGGCTAGGCATAATGGAAAATATTTTAGACTATACATAATGATAAATTAGTCTAGACCTGATATCATTGTAAAAATGTCTAGGTTAGACTTAATTGTAAAATAAAATACGCTAGACATAATGGTAAACTGGTCTTTGCTAGATATAATATTAAAATAATGTAGGCTATATATTAATTAATGTGAAATATTGTAACGAGCAAGTTATGAGGAAGTAATTGTATTTTGTTGCATAAATACATATATATAACTTAACAACTTAAAGAATATACCGGTATATTCTTTAAGTTGTCATACCTGAACATGAAATTAATTAGACAGTGTATTAACCATTTTTGCTTGAGATACAGCATGTATCTTAGAGGTCCGCATTAGATCTGCTCCAAGATTTGTATGGTTGGATAGACTTTTGATGCTATAGTACTATAGCTCCATATGTTTATTACATTTTTAACTCCTTATTTCGTAGGACAAAGTAAAACCCTAAAAACCGTTCGTCAAATATGTCCCTTGTTTTGTAAAGCCTGCCTTATTCGGATGTTACTTATTCCGAAATCTTGTCCATTGTAATATGCACAGTGTAAGTTTATACTAATGACGCTAATTGTTATAAATGTGGTCTAATACGAAATAATATTTCATTTGGTCAATGTCTTTGGGATGGATGTTTGGATGAGATATAATTTACTTGTAGTTCTCTAATTTTGTCTCTTTACCCGAATATATCTTTTACTTAAATGCAGTACATGTACACACGTACAATTTTAAAACTAATATTAAGAATTACTTCAAACTTTAAAAAGTTACTTTACATGTTATTATGAGATCATTGCTGTAAGTTTCTCACTTTGTAGTTCATTTTCACGATGACCTTCGCAAATACAACACATCAATATAAAAGAAGCATTTCTTTATTTTCATATCTTCCAGTGCTCTAATTCACGGTTTACATGATGTTTAGTTTGACACAAAAATTAAGAGGAAATGTGTACACATGTACAGACAGATATGAATAGTAAACAATCGAGTACTGGACACCAGTAAATATAACCTGTATTGTTATTGATAGGTCAGTAGGTTAAAGCACCTGATGGGTAGATAACACGGTCGTGTCATGTGAGTAGACCCTACAGACGCATAGATACTTTATGATTTTGGTGAGCAAAGGACGGCAAGTATGAATTTAGGTAATTTTTAGATTTTTATATATCATTAATTTTAGTTATAATATTTTCAAATTATAACAACATATTTGTTTCTGTTTTGGGAATTTCAAAAAAGTAACTGGATGGGAGGTACATTTTTACTGATTACTGAACTTTTTGAAAAGCAGTTGAGAGCTTATACTTACTAGAACAATGTACGGAAGCTCTTTTACGAAATAAGTACAGTGAAACCTGTCTAATCCGACATGCACAGGGAGACAAATTTTGTTTTGTCGGAATAGACAGGGTGTTTAATTTTTTACATTTTTAAAAAATTTAATTAAAAATTTCCAAATACTTTGTTTTTGATTTGGAAAGAAATGTAACGCCAGAATTTACAGTGAGTCGGATTATTCAGGTGTCGTATTAGACAGTTTTCACTGTATTAAACATCTTTCAACCAAAATCACGGGGTATTCCAAAGCATACATCAGTTGTCCCTCAGGGCTCCCGCCCCCTACTAAAAACACTAAAAAAATAAAATTTCTAACATTGATCTTTATGAACAAAATTAGCATTAGAGCCACATGGAAAATAGTGTGAAGCGCTGCTTAATTTTTCAGAAACGATTTTTATGTCAGATTATGATATGAAGAAATTTCAACACATAGAACACAAGAGTGAAGTTTAATTATCACAACATAAAATTTTGAAGTTTTTTTATGAAAATAAGGTTTATTACACCTATCATGCCTATTATAATCATTGTAGAAAACATCATAAAGCGCAGTATTCTAAGTAAGAATATCAAAATGCACATTTTGATATGCTTTACCCTACACTTAATTCCAGGTCTTCACTTATTTCGTTGTCATTTAATGTGTTTAGCCCCTTCTAAACAACATTAATATCTGTTTTATATGATAATGTTAAGTGACTGAATTACTTCTTAAAAAAGTGAGTACCTGAGCATTTTTCATTGTAGTTCCATTTTACCTACGCCAGGACAAAATCATCATGTGTTATAAAAATTTGAATACTTCTACTGCAAACTCTCTAATGGATTTGATAAAAAATTATACTGAATGTAAATATATGAAAATGTTTTTGTGCATTGTTGGTGTGTAAACAAATACAGTGGTATTCTATATAAGAATATCAAGACGCATATTCTAATATGCTTTATCCTACCCTAAATTTTCACATTGGTCCCTAACAAATTTTTAATATGTTATACACTGTTACTTGTTTAACTGGTGATTGCAGATATCCCCTACACCAGGACAAATTTATAAGGCGAAGCAATACTTCTACTGCAAACTCCCTCAATGGTATACTTCTAAAAGTTCTATTATATCCTCTAAGGAATGATTTTGTGCATTGTTGGTGTGTAAATCAAATACTTGTACACTTTTTATGGAGACATATAGTTCATAAAGGGCTAGCACTTCATGAAAAATATGCATACGTGCACGTCTGTTTGATTTGCATAAGATTAATTTACACTAGATTTCAAAAATATACATGAACTAAAACATAATACATGTGGAAATGTGGATTAGGTCATTTATCAACATATTGATACAATTTCAGGGATTACAAAGCTTGACTATGCTAATGGTTACCATAGAATTAGTCTATGCACAGTCCTTTGTAATATGTATCATAAAAAAATAACTATTCGAAAAAAACACATCTTTAAATATAAAAACAAAAAAAATCAGCATACTTTCAAAAACTTTTATCATTATATTTGTATACTTCGGTATCTGACCAATAGGAATGAAATTTTATTAAAGTACAAAACATGAATCCTAACAAATGTACCATTCTCTGTACAGGTTTAAACTATGTTCTGTCACATTTTGTAAGCCCATATATATATTAATTTAAAACTTTTATTATATTCAGAGCAAGAAGAGTTATTTATGGACCCCCTTAACGCTCAGGAGCTGGTGCCATGTAACTTGTGTGAGACTTCTATAGTGCAGATGCACTGTGTTACGTGCTTTGTCCAATTATGTAAGGCCTGTGTGGGAGAACATATCTCAACTGATGAATCGAAGAATCACAAAGTGGTGAAATTTGAGTCCAGAAATTCCACTCCTCTTTTCCCTCCTTGTGCCTCTCATGGAAAAGAACAATGCGAGATGTACTGTAGACATTGTGATGTCCCGGTTTGTCACACTTGCTTGGGTTCTGGAAAACATTTTAGTCATAAGTTATCGAAAATCGTAGACGTTCTGGATGAAAAGAAAAACTTGATAAGAAAAGAACACAATGAATTAAATAAAACAATTTATCCCACCTACCAGAACATAGCAGTTGATGTACAAAAGACAATCAGTCAATTAGAGACGGAATATGGAGATCTCTCAACAGCCGTAACAAAATATGGAGCGAACTTGCATAGAGAAATTGACCAACTTGCCAGGAAACTCATCACCCAACTTGATGAAATGAAAACCTTACAGTTACAAACTTTAAAGACACAGCTAGGTGAAATAAACAAAACTATTGCTGACATTAAAGATGAAATGGATTCCCTTGATATTGCTGTAGACTCCAATGACATTTCAAAACTATGCAGCGTAAAATCACGTTTAAATCATTATAAAAATCTTCCCAAAAAGATTTTGCCCTCCGTCCCTAAATTTACTCCAGAGAAAATCCAAATAGAAGAAGTACGTAAACTGTTTGGGGCTTTAAAATCAGATTTCGATCAATCTGAAGAGCATAGATACAGTATAAAGAAAACACAAAAAGTTCACGACGTTGAGTCTTCTTTAATCGATCAAACTTCGCCCGAAACTAGATGTGTACCACCAGTTAAAAAGCTACATGAGAATCCAAAGTTTACTTCAAACGGTATTACCTTTTCAGGCTCTCCTCTAAATCTTGCTTGTTTGAAAAATGACACCTTTTGGGTATGTGGAGATAGCAGTACCATGGCACTATACGATGACAATCAGCTCTCTCTACGAGACAGTTTCCATCAGGAGCCTCCAATCAAGAGAATCACTACAAAGTCAGGAAAAAGACCAGCAGACATAACTGTTTCAAGAAGAGGACGTCTCATTTACACTGATTACAAAAATAGAACTGTGAACATCGTGAAGAATGAAAACATATTGAAGGTGATCGAACTAAAGAACTGGAGACCCCAAGGTGTCTGCAGTACCTTTTCTGGTGATCTGCTAATCACCATGGAAAGAGATGACAACAAACAATCACGAGTTTTCCGTTACTCTGGCTCTAAAGAAAAGCAGTCCATTCAGTTTGATAGTGAAGGCAATCGTCTATATTCATCTGATGGATCTCACAAATACATCTGTGAAAACAATAACCTTGATATTTGTGTAGCTGACTCTGGAGGTCAAGCAGTAGTGGTGGTCAATCACGAGGGTATACTGAGATTCAGGTACACTGGACATACTCCTGCCCCAGAGAATAAACCATTTAGTCCTAAAGGAATCACTACAGACAGTCAGAGCCATATACTTACAAGTGATAGCAACAATTACTGTGTTCATATCATAGATGAGGATGGACACTTTCTGCGTTACATAAACTGTGAGAAGTGTTCGATATCTGGGTTATGTACAGATACAAAGGACAATCTGTTTCTTCTACGTTTCAAGAAATTGAACTTTTTTCAGACTTTAAGCCACGTGACGAGAATTAAATACCTCGAATGAGATCAATCCTTTTAATGTTTTCATTTTACCTGACAAACCTGTAACAATGTGTTTTGGGCAAAAATTGACATTCAATTTTCAGATATTTGGAAGGTCTAGATAGTTTTGACAAAAATGTCTTACATACAAGTTTTGTTGCGATTCTCTGTGTATAAATTTGTAATGAGGGTTTTATTGTTCAAAGATACATTAAATCATACACGTTAATTTTTAAAATGTTCAAAGCTACCAATTCCGTTTTCTTATTATCAATGAAATCGAACATTGTTATAACAACTATGATACATTCTCTCATTTTCTTTCAGAATGTTCAAGCCAACAGAAAAAATCATCAACTTAATGTTGCTCTTATAATCAGTTCGATGACATCTTTTTATTTTTATTTTTTTAACTTTTTTATTTTTAATTTCCATTTCCATTGTATAGAATTCCACATAAATTGCTATAAAATGGTATACAAAGGAATTTAAACATACTCATACACCCTCCCTTACACTCACTCGTACAAATCGGATTAAACTGGAATTATACGGAAAAAAATAAGGCTGCTTTTAGAATTCACTACATCAATTGTTCACCAATCATAAAAAAAACAATTATCAAAAGCAAACATATTTAAGGTATTCAAATTATTTTCAAACAAAAGAAACATTTCAATTTGATTCAAACATTTTCTTCCATGAGTCCCATTTTTTTTATCAAAAAAATGAAAGTTTAGAGTTATTAATCTATGCACACCTCTCAATGTTATATTTCATTTTTAAATGATTTATCAAACCAAGAAAGCTTGGCTTTTTACATTAAGCAAGTAAAAATATATTGCTTAGTATATAATATAACAAAGTTTATAATAATAGTATCTTTAGTGAATGGCATTTCACCCAGAATGATATTTTTGAAATTAACACCAATTGTTTTAGCAGTTGTTCTATAGATATGCATACTCAAATTTCTCCATAAATCCACTACATCATAGCAAGTTACAAATACATGTTGAATAGTTTCAGTATCCTTCTTACAAAAGTTACATGAATCAGATGTGTTAATGTTAATTTTCTTAAGATAGTACCCGACAGGAATAATTCTATGAAGAAGTCGGTATTGAAGACATTGTACAGAAAAATCATTTGTTGTCTTGAAACATACTCGAAAAACATCTTGTGTACATATATCATTCATTCCATGAGGGGAACACTTTGAAATTGCTGTAAGTTTCAAACAATTTTTGTTTATGACATTGTAAACATTTTGTATTCAAAAAAATATACTCAAAATAAAAAGGTAAAGAAGGCAGATAACTTTTGTTCAATATTGTTCCCATATCTTTAAATCATTTAGCTATGGCACTAATAACACTATTGTACTGCATTACATTTAGAGTAGGAAGATTAATTTTTTTTTTTTTGAAAAGCAGACTTTGAAAGAAAAATACAATCTTCGTACAGAAATCTCCAACAGTTTTGACACCTTTCTGATACCAATTTTCTGTAAAAATTTTCAATCTTAATGTTTGAGTTGTACCATATTGGAATATTACAAGCCTTATTTTTTATGTCCATGTCATGTTCTACCTTTTTCATAACATACTTCCAGGAACTAAAAACATCCAACCAAAAAGAATTGTTCTTTGACATTATGACAGTAGACATGTATTCATCTCCATTATCTAAAATTTGTTTTATAACAACATTACCATAAATTGCCGGGAATGTATCAAACCATGGTTTGTTTCTTGCAGTCAACAGTCTTTTGACCCAAGTGCATTTCAAGGATTTCATAAAGTTGTCAATATTTACCATCTTTAAACCTCGATGACAACTTCATACTCATTTCAAATTAAATTCCTACCTCGTTCATAATCTATCACTCTGCAAAACTAGAATGAAACATATTGAGATAACGAGAAATATTTAAGAGAAAAGTCCATATTACAATTTAAAATTGGAGCAGAGCAAGCACGGATAACAAAAACATCAGAGGTGGGATCAGGTGCTATGGAGGAGTAAACATCTCCAGCTGACCGGTCACACGCGCAGTGTGCTCCTTGTTATAATCAGTAATATAACGGGAAAATCCGTCGTCAATTCAGTGTATAAATTATGGACTTACAACTCCGTATGCAGGTGATGAAGGTATTTTGCTGTGTAAGCAAGGGAAGTTGACGATTGTTAAATGAAAGTCGTCATGTTGATCATAAAGCTTGGTTGTTAGATTACCATTATCGTTTTTTTTTTCAAGTAAAATATATCTTACAAGAAAGAAATAAAAAAAAGTATGTTTGTAAGAATTTATTATATGAAAAATTTGATTTAAATTCAAAACTTTTTTGTTCTAGTTGTGAAAGGTACAAAATGTGAAACATCAACCACCTTCCTTTTGACAAACAAAAGATTCACATTATTCGTCCATTGATTGAACGAAGATGCATAATCATATAACTCATTCTTCAAAACTGAATTTAAATTTGTGACAAAAGAGCTTTTTATAAAAAATGATTAGTTTCATTATTTATGTACATTAATTAAGTCGGCACCTTTCCTGCTTCTAAAAAAAACTATGTGAAGATAATCTGATGTCTTAAAAGAGAGATAGGTGTCCATATCTAAAAGCATGTCTTAAGTTTTATGTACGTAACTTATCGTCCATGGTGACTTTTTATTAAATCAATAAGCTGGTGTATCCTTTGTGAGGTATATTAATACTAGTTTGCATCTTTAATTCCATGATTTTTTCTGCCTTATTCCATTTAAATAAGAAAATAAATTTAAGATTACCATTAGACTCCGTTACTTACATAAACACTAAACAAGTAACATATTCTAGAACATGATAAACTATGAAAATAATGTAATCAGTAAATGGCAGTCATGTCAATGTTATATTAAATGGAATTTATAATATATACATTTAAAAATTTAATTTAAATCTAAATTTAAATCATCTGAATTTATAAATTTTATCATTTTTATTTACAGTTTAAAAACACAAATGCAACATGAAATTAAGTAACAGGTACCTTTAAAAGGCTTTTGCAGGTATCAACAATAAAAGATTTTGCCTTTGTCACCTTTGTTTTTGTCGCCTGTTTTTCGACATGGGAAAGTTTGTCTCAAATACTTTCCCCACATTTAACAATATGTAGGTCTTTGATTTGACTCTCGATTATATGCGAGGTTTGACACAATCAACACATAGGTATCTCTGGTGATATTAAATAATGGCCATATCAAAATTTAAAGTTTTACTTAGAAGTATATGGGAAACATCTTTCAAAATCTTCTCCTCAAGAACCACTAGGCCAGAAAATATGACACTCGTATGGAATCATCTTCAGGTAGTGCAGATTCAAGTTTGTTCAAATCATTGCCCCCGGGGGAAGGGTGGGGCCACAATGACCGATCAAAGTCTTACATAGGAGTATATAGGAATTTTTTTTAAAAAAAATAATCTTTTCAAGAACCACTGGGCAAGGAAATATGGAATCATCTTCAGGTAGTGTAGATTCAAGTTTGTTCAAATCATGACCCCAGGGGTAGGGTCGGGCCACAATGGCCGATTAAAGTTTTACATAGGAGTATATGGGAAATCTGCACAGTGCACTCTGCTGGTATGGATTCCCCATTCTGTAAAATATAGAACACGGCATTAACTTCATCAGAACGAAACATTTCTACGATTTGGTACTTTAGATTAATCAGTCAGCATAAATAATATGTTTCAAGGGGGAGCCGTTGGGGTAATGTTGTACCATAAAAAACACTGAAAAAATTGATCAGCCACTTCGAACATCAAGTCACACGAGATATCTCGACTAGCTGTGACGTCAAACGACATCACGGAGCTCGTCGGAGCTTACAGAGACAGCCAAGCGTCTGGTTGAAACTATAGAATAAATGCAATTTCGAAAAACATTGCAGAGTTATTTTTTGTTTCTTTGAATGATTTCTGCAAACTGAAAGCCTCTTGTGCTTTACGTTATTATTAATCTTTTTATGTATTCGCGCAAAGGACATTGGGAGACAAAGGAAATCTTGAAATGTTTCACAGAAAAAATTGCCTGACGTATTTACAGATTTCATTCCGAATTTCCTCTGTTCTAACACGTTATTGTTTGAGTTAGCTTCGCGAGCGTCGCTTCGCTATAATGAATCAATTATCTATATAAATGAAAACTTTATATGCATAAATATATAGATAGGTGCAATTATACATTTCATAATATATCCCTATGTAAAACGGGTACAAAAGTAAGAGACTTAATATTTTAGAATGATTCAATCGATTTAGTACATTTAAGTTCAAAAAGTTTTTAGTTATATGCATACAAAGCTATCCTTTTTACATATTTTTAATTAAGCTATCTTCAAAAATAGTTTGATAATTGTTTGTTTTAAGGATGACGTTCCTTTTGACAAAAATAGATTTACACAATACCGAAGTCTGCATGACAACGTTAAAAATGACTTCGGTAATTTCTCTCATTTTAACTTAAATTTCTTAATCATTCTACCGGAATGAAAATGTCACCAAGCGAAAAAGCGAGGAGTTAAAAAGGCCTTAAATGCATGCACATCCTGCGAGGTTGTCTTTGTGTTTGACTTTAGTGGGTGGAGACTATTGAAATTGACATGGGAAATTTTGTGTAATTTAAATCTATTTGTTTAAATTTTTGAAATCTAAATTTAAAATTAAATTATACAATTAAATGAACATAAAAGAAACCACTGTCTAGTTTGTAGAGTATGCCAGGGGCTATTAACTACACAGTTATTGCTTATCGTAAACCCTGTCATATACTGAAGGGAAAAAGAAACGCAGGGTAAACTTTTGAGGTGAATTAAATTTGTTTTTCTTCAAATACTTTTTAGTTTTTCTTTTCTATCTATTAAAATCATCTTTCAAAAAGATATAACCAAATTTTCAAATGATTTTATGTAGTTATTCATGAGTTATTGAAGCTCAAATGACGATACCCCCCAAAAGGGAAAATCAAAAACTCTCATTATCTTCAATATCCATCTCGTGCATCTGTCAAAGTCGTATTTCTCCTTTGCATGGAATTTCATCAGAGTGTTTATCTTTTAAACCCTGGCTATATTTAGCATGGGTAACCACGCAAAAAAATAAGTCAAACGACGCGCGCATGCGCCAGTGAGAGGAATACAACAGTAAGTTGACTGGCTAAAAAAAAACCAAATTGCGGAATTGTTTCCTTTCAAATTTCGTGTGAATGTAATGATTATAATCGTGTACACTATAAATGGCTGTTTTTGTGGTAGTAAGGTGGCGATTTAAAAGATGGCAGGATGAATAACTCGTAACATGGCTCTGTTTCGCGTTAACGTCAGCGTCACGGTTGATTAAAATCCACTCCAGACCCTCTCTGACAACGGCTAAAAAGTTTTATCGGGGAAAATTTACAAGAGACTGCTTAGTAAACCGTTGTTGCCTTTTTCATTAATTAGGCAATTCAAAAACAAGACCCGATTGAACTTCCGTAAACTGTGCCAAGATTGCAATAAATTCACAATGTCTCCTAATATTGAAAAACGATTTGCACCTCATATGCATCAAATAATGCAACAAGATATGTAAACAAACACGTCGTTATCAAATTGCACGTGTTTTGGGCTTTTTAGCGTTTTCCCTACGTGACGTCATAAATTTTACGCTTGAGTATTTCTGAACACTGAATTTGATGCACAGTAACGAAATTTCCCATCTGACCAATTTTTGTAATTTTTGGTCATGTGGTCAAATTGTTATGGACAATTATGCTACCCTGCGTTTCTTTTTCCTCTCAGTATATGTATGAGGATTTTGTTCACCATTTAAATTCATCGCAAAAAGTTTTTCGAAATTGAAATGTAAGACCAAGTTATTTGATGAAATATCAGGGGTATAAATGATTCTCTAAGGACCAATACACTTATCTTAGTTTCTTTGAAGATGGAAAACACTACAGGATATACCTGTTAATATTTGAATTTGTTACATCATTGAGATGCATATAAATCAAATAACTTACAATATACATAGAGTACTGGTTATAAAATTGACAACTACAACCTATTAAAATACCAGACCTTACAGATATATGTAGATAACGTAGCAATGTTGGTTACGTACACCAAAGACACAAAGTGTAGTTTTAATATCATTTGGTTCGGAGAGCGGTCATATACTCACTCTTGAACAGGTAATAATGACGGGGTTTTTTTTCTGCATTAAAGGTCAAAATAATCTCTTTATATGTCTATATCATTCAATTTGTTTGCAACACATCTTATTGTTTTTTTTTCATAAATATTGTAAATTTTATTGTATAAAAGATTTAGTTTATATCGTATAACATATTTTGCCTACAACCGAATTAGTTACATCGAAAACGTATTTTTCCTTTCCTCTTGGCGTTACTCTGAAAATATGAAAAAATATGAAAAAAACAACAAAAAACAAGAAAATATCTAAATGTGTATGGTCCATTTTTTTTTATTTGAATCTAGTTTATAAATTATCTTTTATATATATCTTTTTACAAAATAGCAGAACAATTTATTATTTCCAGATTTAAACCTTCATTATGGACCCAAGTACCAGTGCCCAAGATGTGACGCGATGTGACATTTGTGAGACTGCTATAGTACAGATGCATTGTGATACATGTCTGGCCAATCTGTGCAAGGCTTGTGTTGGAGACCACATCTCCACTGACGAAAACAGGGGTCACAAAGTAGTCAATTTTCAGTCAAGGAGAACCACTCCCATGTATCCTGACTGTGCTTTCCATGTTCAAGAACAATGTGAGATGTATTGTAGACACTGTGACGTGTCTGTTTGTCCCACCTGTTTGGCATCTGATCGACATCTCGGTCATAAACTATCAAAATTCTTGCACGTTCTGAGCAAAAAGAAAGACTTGATAAGGAAAGAACAAATCAAATTTAATGAAACAATTTATCCTTCATACCAGGACTTTGCAACTGATGTTCAAAACAGAATGAGTCAGTTAAAGAAGGAATGTGGAGATCTCTTAATATCCATAGCAAATCATGGAGAGTACTGGCATAGTAAAATCAACAATCTTGTCGGGAAACTTACAACTCAAGTTAGAACAATAGAAACCAACAATTTAAAAACTTTACAAAAACATCTTAATATAACAAACCAAAAAATCGCTGACATTACAGCTCAAATTGATTTACTTAAAACTGCTGCTAACTCCAATGACATTGAAACGCCTTTCAGTGTCAAATTAATTGCAAATCATTATAAAACGCTTCCCCACATAAAAATTCCCTTAGTACCTAAGATTACACCAGAGACAATAAGAGGAAGAAATTTATAAATTGTTCGGTGTTCCTCATCCCTTGCCAGAAATTGGATCCCGTCCACCAGAAAAGAGGGTAGTTTCAAAAGCAATGTTTTTCAATAAGATTCTTCCCATTTCAGGTTCTCTTCAAAACATTGCCTTTTACAGAAATTCAAGAGTCTGGATAAGTAAAAAGAACAGTACAATAAAACTTTACAGCATTAATCAGGAATCACCACTCGTAACAATCAGAACAGCGTCAGGAAACATGCCAGCAGACATAGCAGTATCAAGAAATGACGAACTAATTTATTTTGATGACAAGGATAAAACTGTCAACACTATAAAGAATGCAGATATAATGGAAGTGATCAGGTTTCGGAATTGGAAACCTCGACGTGTCTGTTGTGCATCCTCGGGTGAGCTGCTGATTATCATGGAAAATGATGAAAAGCAATCAAAAGTTGCCCGATACTCTGGTTCCACAGAGAAACAATCCATTCAGTCTGATAATAAAGGTAATGCCCTCTTCTCCTCTGGTGATTTCGATAAATACATTTGTGAGAACAGAAACCTGGATATTTGTGTGGCTGACCGTGGAGCAAAAGCAGTAGTTGTGGTCAATCAGGCTGGAAAATTAAGATTCAAATATAAAGGGCATACTCCTAAGCCAAGAATGAGACCTTTTTGTCCAACAGGAATTACTAAAGACAGTCAGGGTAACGTCCTGACAAGTGATGAAAATAATAACTGTATACACATCATTAATGAGGATGGACATTTCGTACGTTACATAAACTGTGGGAGTCTAAATTTAATACGAGGATTGTGTATAGATAAATATGACAATCTGTTTCTAATTGGTTTCAGAGTAAAGCTTTTGGGGGTCTTGAAGCTTGTAAGCCGAATTGAATATTTGCAGTGAAATAAGCTTTTTAGATATATTGTTTTCTTTAATAAGGTGAAAGTAAGAATAAAAAAGACAAAGTACTTTCTATTTTGCCTTAGTATAGGTTAAATTATTCATTTACCATTAAAATAGCATGCATGTATGGAAACAAGACAATTTATATTTCAAATTATAAATGTTTCCTATGTTAGAATACTCTTTACACTGCACACTAAAGAGTTCTGATTCTAAGGTATTTTTCTGCAGTTAGAGTGATCTGCCCTGAGATTTAAATTCTAAAAAATAGAAAATTACACAACATTACTCAATTTGTAATCAGTTTAAGTATTCTCAACAATTTAAAAGGCCAAAATAAATTATCCGGACGTGTTATTTACATGCATTTTCTCTATTGAAGTAATTTACAGTGATTTATATTCACTGCAACTGTGTTGTCTTTAAAAATTTCCCCCCAGGGGTAAATGGCATTCACCATACATTGAAAACTAAATAAATAAGCACAATATCTACTCCTTCATACAATATATTTTTCTCAATTTCCAACACAATTTTTGCAGTCGTGTAGAGAGGGTCCTTAAGTTGGAAATGGCAATTAGGTAAAAATATGGAATATGGAAGGCATCTGATGAGACAATATAGCTCTTCTTTCCTGTTCTGAATAACAACAAGATGTACTTGGTAGAAGATGTACAGTATATATTTTACATCCTTAATGTTTACCAATCATTAATATTATTGATAAAGACAGTGAATGATTATCTCATACTTTCTTGTAGTTAATTGGATAAGAACAATGGTGTTTAACAAACATTTCTCAGTTACTTGAATCTGATTTGTTTAGAAACATTCGATTGAAACCATTATTCTGTGAGTATTGAAATCACATCAAAGAGCATAGTAATACAATAAACATTGTCTACAACCAATGTTGATTTTTTACTGAGTATTAAAACCCTGACTGCGCTGATTTCATTGTAATTGTAGAAAATATTCAATATAAAGGGTGTTAAGAATGTTCGTTCCAATTTTTTTTTTACTTTCGAAAAGAAATACGATGAAAAGATACTTGTATTTACAATTTGTTATATTTCATGTTTACAGGGGAAGGCAGGTATTAAGGAGGAATGCCACACCAACTTTTTAATTTTATAGATCTCTGAGTCAACCTTTTTAAACAATGGTTTCAGCATTGAATGGCCGACATTAGCTCTTAATTATTTTATATGATTTTTTTTGTATTTTTTCAAAGAAAACGAAAAAAAATAATTATATCCAAATTAAGTGCTTCCTTGTAAAATTTTTGGTGTAAATGAATGCATCCCATGAATACCTAATAAAATATGTAAAGAAAGTCTGATTGGACTTTTTAATTTTTTTATAAAAAAATATTATGAAAATAAAACATATAATTTGTGAATATTTTTTAACCTTGTGGTTAAAACCGTCTTAAAACTAGCCACAACTGGGGAGAACATGTTCATTAATCATATTTATAAAAGAAATTGAATCGAAGTAGCTCAATTTTAGAGAAATTATTTTCTTTAAATTTTTGCCAATCCCGGTCAAAATTAAACCGATCCCGACCATAATTGTACAGTTATTGGAAATAAATAACATTTTCCTAAGAACACTAGTCTGATTAGGTGTTATAAGGGTTAAAACATTATAGAACCTGACAATAAAATAGATTTATGCATTGTAAATACATGAAGAGGCAATAAATTAGCATTTTTTTTTCATTTTGTTTTATTTATGATCGGGATCAGTTTAATTTTGATCTGGTTAGGTCCAAATGTTAAAAAAAATTAATTTCACTAAAATTTCTCAATTTCGTTTCAATTTCTTTTTAAAATATGATTGACAAACAATGTCCTTAGTTGTGACTAGTTTTATGGTGTTTTAACCATAGGTTTAAAAAATATTTACAAATAATGTGTTTTGTTTTCATAAATATTTTTTTATAAAAAAAATCAAAAAGTCTAACCAGACTTTATTTTCATATTTTATTAGGTATTCATGTGATGCATTCATTTACAGCAAAATTTTTACAAGAAAGCATCTAATTTGGATGCAAATAATTTTTTTCATTTTCTTTGAAAAAATACAAAAAAAATTATATAAAATAATTAAGAGCTAATATCGGCCTTTCAATGCTGAAACCATTGTTTCGAAAGGATGACTCATAGATCCATAAAATAAAAAAATGGTGTGGCATTCTACCCTAAAACAGATGATGCCTGTTCAGAAAATTACAGATGACACATATGTGTGACATATATTGAGCACGAGGTCAGAACATCCTTGCAAATACTTTGCACAAATTATCAAATTTGTGAAAAATTTCAAAATGAAAAACCTATTCTTTTGAAAAGTAATCTATCGTTCTTATATTTACGCTCATCAGCTTGTCAGATGCCATGAAGAAACAAAAGTAAATTATCCTTTATTTTCGCTCAAAAGGACAAGCATTTCTATCATTTGGGTGCTTTAAAGATGTTATATATTTTCATATAGAAGAAAAATCCTATAACTTTCTGGTAGACCTGAATTGCCATAAATCTTGCACACTTTTGGAGTTTTGTCAGACTTGAAAATTCATCTCTTTAGTTAAGCACTACTTTGAAATTTTTGAAAATATTTCATTCTGGAACGAACTCTCTTAACACCCCTTTGCATAATTGTATATTTTTTTTATAACAAGAGAAACATTTTCAAACGAGGCGAAATTTTCAAAACTATTACTGCAAGAAAGAATGAGATAATAAGTCACCGGCTATATTAATGTGTGGCTGTGGTTTACTACAGTTTTCTTGGAGGACAAGATAATGCATTGGTGCAAGGCATCAGATTATTCACAAACTAAATGATGTTGATTGGGATACACCAAATCTTTTCACATAATGATACCTATGGTGTTTCAGCAAAATATTCAAATGAAGGATATGCACATGAAAATAAATTGAATAATACGGAGAGTTGTTTAAGTTCATTGATGGCATAGCAAGCAGTCTTTTATGCACATGAATAATCTGCTCTAATTTTATTGACGGACTGAAACTTACTTTTTAAGTATTTTGTGTGTCCAGGGCCAATAATAGTTCTGAACTTACCTAGATACAGTACCGAACAGAACCAACCTGACTCCCAAGCAGTCCAAGAATGCAGTCCCCGGGACTGCTTCGGGATCGCTCTTGGAATGCTCTGGGAATGCTCTGTGACTGCTCTGAAACCGCTTTGGGACTGCTCTGGGACTGCTCTAAAAAGCAGTCCCAGTTGTCACTGGGACTGATTTCTATGACTGCTTTGTTCACTCTCATGTGTGACAAAGGTTCTGAGTGACATGATAGATCCACCCCTTGTGTATTCTGAATTTGCAGGCTCTCAATTGTTTTGTTTACTTGAAGCAGAGAGGAGTTTTAAACTATTAAAAATGCAAGGATTTGTATCTTTAAACAAGTAGAGAGTATAATTGTAATAGTTATTTAAAATTTTCAGAGACTGTATTCTTACACAAAAATAGTTTTAAAAAATGTTTTAATAAAAATAATAAAGTTGTTAAATAACGAAGTCAGGAGAAGATTTTTATCCCTAAAAATAAATTACAGGGTTATATATGAGGGAAAAAATCTACATGAACTCCTAATTTATTATTTAATGCAAAATTGTGTACTCCAAAAATGCATGGGCACTATTTTTAAAAAAAAAAAATTATTACAGTTAAACAAGTATATAAGATTTTTTTAATTAAAAAAGCTACACATTTTACAAGTACCACGCTATAAAAAAAGAATATTCCAAACAACCCTTAAATAACCTAACAATTTATTAATGAACATGAAATAAAAGGGGCTACCATTCTTCAGTAAAATAAATAATGTAAACAATTATTGAGAAATTTATTAATGAATTAGTTTTAAATTTATAAACAACTTATCGAAAGAGTCAATTTGTTTTAAAAACAAACATTTGAAAATACCGGGAGTGTGATTTATTCCTTTTTTTTGTTTTTCTTGTGTTTACCTGGACAATTAATGTATGTAAAATGGTATCAACACCTGTGGGTTCAATCGCCTTTGGGACAGAAAATCAATCATGCATGTTATTTGGGTACTGTACGAGTATAAGTGTTACACATCATTGGGAATGTTCTCTGGGACTGATAGGATTGCTCTAGGACCGCTATGGGACTGTTTTGGAACAGAAAACAGTCCCCGGGACTGCTCTGGGACTGCTTTGTGTCAGGTTGGGTCTGGTCGGTACTGTACCGATGTAAGGTATTCGCAGTTATGATAAGGCTGTCCGAAGGCTTAATATGCCTTAAAAATATACACTTTATTTTGAGCTAGATTTTAATTTTAATATGCAATCCTTGTTTGAAATTGCAGTCATTTTGAGATAATAGTTTAATCAGGTTTTATTTTAAAGCATTTTTATGATGTCACATGAATGTGTTGATCACGTGACGGAGATTTATGATATTCCTAATTGTTGCACAAAAATCGTTTTGGTACAAGTGCAAAACAAAATTATTGTGCAATGTTTGTTACATAGTTCAATTCATCGTGATCTATGGTATATATAGAAAGTGCTGGGGCAGGTTTAATTTTTACGCGTTTAGAAAGTGTTTACGAGAAAATCAGGTTACCAACACAAGAAGGGGTATTTTCCACTCTTTATCGCGATTAATACAAATATGGATGGAAGGATATGGAAATAACGAACAGTATTCAATCTCAACGTCCATTAAACAAGTATACAAAATGAGAGCAGAGCAAACACGGACCTCCGAAACATCAGAGGTGGGATCAGGTGCCATGGAGGAGTGAGCATCCCCTGCCGACCGGTCACACCCGCCGTGTGCTCGTTGTCATAATCAGGAAATAACGGAAAAAATCCGTGGTCAATTCAGTGTATAAATAATGGACTAACAATTGGTATGAAAAACGTCAGTCAGCATTTCATTCAATGATAAATTGTATTTGCTGACAAGGTCATTGTATCGACCATAGAATTTACGAAATGATGACTTTAAACGAAACTGTTGATATTCTTGTTTCATCAACTTGCTTGTCAATAATTTACCTCGTTTAAGAAATTGTTCATACGTAGAACATGCTCTTGCGTATCGAATCAACTGAGATATAAATACTCCGTATGCAGGTGATGAAGGTATATTGCTGCATAAGTAAGGGAAGTTGACGATAGAAAAGTTAAAGTCATCACGTTTATCATATAGCTTGGTTGTTAGATTACCATTTGTGTCTTTTTCAAGTAAAATATCCAAGTATGAAGCAGAAGTGTCGGACTCTGTAGTATCTTTTATCTCAAGCTCACCAGGATATATCGTGTCGACGTAGGAATGGAAATTATCATTATTAATTGACAATACGTCGTCGATATATCTAAATGTCGAGTTGAAGGCCACAGCAAGTGTTTTCTTCTTTTCACGTAAAAGATTTTGCATAAATTCTGCTTCATATGAATATCAAAATAAGTCTGCTAATAACGGAGCGCAATTTGTACCCATGGGAATTCCAATAGATTGTTGGAATACCTGGTCTCCAAAAACCTTATAGATATTGTCAATCAGAAACTCAAGCATCTTCTTGATGTCAACTTCAGAGTACTTATGTGTGCAATCAGAATCTGTTTTAACAAAATAATTTTTCAAATGACCAATGACGAGGTAAGTAAACTTACGAGTTCCATTTTTGTTGAAGAAGCAGCTGTCAATGATATCAAAAAGCCTGGATTTTAATTTGTCGTGCGGAATTGTTGTGTATAAAGTTGAAAAGTCGTAAGTTTTTATGCTGTTGATTTTTGTAAAGTCTTGTGATTTCAAATTGTCCAAAAGTTCTTTACACACAATCCCCCAGCAAAATTCAGTTAGAGGACATATTTTGTAGATTCACACAGAATATGTTCATTTTGCCCTGGTTTATCACTTGTGCCAGTCCAATATAAATACGATTCATTGATTCTAACTCTGTCTACGGACGTGTAAAGGGAGCGTTTCACACATAATTTTTTTGCTGTTATTTGAATATGTGAATATTGGACAAGCAAAAAGAATAGGGCTATTGTTAAACATCATTACAGCACACTTGAGCTTAGAAAACATTTCAAACACTTAAATTAAACAAAAAGTTCCCCCCCCCCAAATGTATATGCCATGTAATAATTATGACACTTTCCCAATCATGTCAGCTCAAGTATGCAGTGACATGATGTCATATACTATTATGACGTAATATCTAGGTAGTTCAGAGAAGTTACTACAGTTTAAACAATTTTTAATTTACGGGCAGCCTTATCCTAGCTGCGTTTGATATGTAACAGGCATGGGTACGATTATTGAAAAATATAATCAATTAATAATAGATTACTTAGAGGAATTTTGTGTAATCGATTAAATAATCAATTACAGTACGTTTTGTCCTGTAATCGATTACTATAGACAGTGTAATCGATTAATAATCAATAGCTCTCGACATTTCTCATACTAAACTATCAAAGTAAAAAAAAATGAATAATGCGTAGTAATGCTGATATCCCCTGACATTTGAATGTATGCACGCCGTTTACATGTCTGAATTCTCTTACATGTAGATTTGATCCATCATATATAATAACTATTAATTGTTGTAGAAATTAATTGATATTTTACTGTGATTTATGAGTGCATGGACATTCTGCATGTTGCAGAATTCATAATGATATACACAGTCCCTGTGCTTTAATTATTTAAAAGATTAATAAATTAGATCTCTTAGCAATGGACAAGTAAACTCAATGTACCTGTGTATAAGTAACAGAACAATTTCTTTTTATGTTGAAATAATTGTTTTTGGAGGTATAAATTGTTCTATAAGGTTGTTTGTTTACAGTGGAGTGATTAATTATAAATTACTAGTAGTAGTATAGGGTATGGGAATATACGCGACCTTATCAAATTTTGCACATTGCTGACGTCACGGAGCGGACCCCAGTCCAATGAGTCACAAACATTATTGAGTGAAAGGGGGTGGATCACACCACAGGTGGTCTTATCTTTTAGGAAGTATCGATCAGTGTATAAAATATTAATTTAAGACTAAATAGTTGATATAATTTGACATTATCTGGATCATATTCGGATGTTCTTTCACACACCAACTTGATTTTGATGGTTCTGTCATCTGTGAATCAGACTGTGTGAAGAATCTGGGAGTGTTTTTCAACAAATCACTTACCATGGAGACTCAGATTAGCGCAGTGTCCAAATCCTGTTTTTACCACCTGCGAAATATTAGTCGAATTCGCCCATTCATAACAGAAGATGCTTGTAAGACTCTAGTTGTCGCTCTAGTTGCATCAAGACTTGATTATGGAAATGCACTACTCTATGGAATTACAGAGACAAATATTTCACGGCTACAGAGAGTACAAAATACGGCAGCAAGGATTGCCACCCGAACTAGGAAGCATGATCATATCTCCGAAGTCCTGATATCTCTTCACTGGCTTCCAGTTAAATTTAGAACATATTATAAGATCCTTTTATACACTTTCAAAGTACTCCAGGGGACATCACCATCATACCTAAAGGAACTCATAACAGTCTATCAACCGTCAAGAACTCTACGCTCGTATGACTCCAAACATCTTGTGAAACTTCGTGTTCGCACGGAGACATACGGAACGCGTCGTTTTGACCATGCAGCGGCAACTTTGTGGAACGGTTTACCTGATGCTCTTCGCTTCCAGACGTCACTTTTAGCTTTTAAACGAGATCTTAAGACTCACCTTTTTAAGATAGCATACGACGTATATTTTTTTTATTTTTTGAACAAGTTATAAAGTTCTATTGTCCTAAGTCTATTTATTTTGGGCACAACCTGTATTGTGTGAAAATTTTAATGTGATGTCAATTTGATCTTAGTCTAGCAGCATATAATTTTAGCTTACTCTTATGTTAGTTACGATCTCTTAGAATGATTTTAGGTCTAATGTTTTTATGATTATTGTTTTTATGATTATTGTGTTGTATTTAACTACTTGTATATCTGAAATAGTGTCTGTTCAGCGCCTTAAAGTAAATCATTTTAAATAGGGCGCTATACAAATTTTATTATTATTATTAAGGTCTTCCGTCTTCAGCGGAAGACCTTCTTGTTATTCTTAGGTTTCTTTTCCACTATTTTTATTATTATTGTTTTTTTTTCTTACCGATTTTGTGCACGCGATTTCTCAGAAACGTCTCGATCGATTTTCATGAAACTTTCAGGACTGATAGAACATCAAGCAAACCTGATATATAATTTTTTGTTTTGATGACGTCACTTCCGGTTTTGAGATTTTCGCTATTTAGTGATTTTCAGAGGGTCACTTTGTTCGGCAGTTTTCTCAAAAAGCACTTAACACAGAAGCATGAAATTTTCAGCGATGATAGAGCAACATGTGCTGATGTGACATACACCTATCTTTTTCTCCGGAAGTGCAGCACGTCGGCGCTCGCTATGGCTCGAAAAAAGTTCTATCGAGGTTTTGGAAAATTTTGACACCTTTTCTGCAATATCTTTTTACATGTTAACATTTTGTAAAGAGATGTAGAACAAAAGTTGTAGAGAATGTCACGATCTTTCATAGGATATCAACAATAAAGGGCTGGCCCCTATAATTAAGGGGCAAAAGAGGCTGAAAGTTTTTTCTTTATATCTCAAAAAGTATTGGAAATTCGTAATACATCAAAGAAGCAAAGTTGTTCAAAATGTCAAGCTTTATCTAATGGGGTTGTCGAAATGTGTCCGGCGACGTCACTTCCGGTCAAACCGGAAGTAGTCCGAAATTGCATATTTTCACTGTTCTTGACAGGTTTTTGGATATCATATGTCACTGGAAGCTTAAATCTTAATTTTCCGTCCGTCGACGGTACTTCCGGTCAAACCGGAAGTTGTCAAAAATGACTTAATTTTGCAGTAACTAACATAAATTTGGAGGATTAAACCATTTTTGGACTTCATTACTCTTTTTTTTTCAAATGAAAGTTACTTCCGGTCAAACAGGACGGAAGACCTACTCGTTGCTTTGCAACGAGCTCGGCTCTAGTTATTATTATGTTGCTTATTCCGAAATCTTGTCCATTGTAATATACACAGTGTAAGTTTATACTAATGACGCTAATTGTTATAAATGTGGTCTAATACGAAATAATATTTCATTTGGTCAATG